GGATGAAAGGTTAGTTTGTGTGATGGACTGGGCTACATTCACAACTCTGTAATTTCTTGAGGACTTGAGGAGAACAGTTGCCATACCAAGCGGTGATGCATCTGGACAGGATGCTTTCTATGGTGCATCTATAAAAATTAGTAAGAGTCACTGTGGACATGCCAAATTTCCTTAGCCTTCTGTGGAAGTAGAAACGTTGCTATGCTTTCTTGACTGTAGCATCGATGTGCATGGACCTGGACAAACTGTTGGTGATATTTATTCCTAGGAACTTGAAGCTCTCAGCCACCTTTACTTCAGCACCATTGATACAGACTGGGATGTGTTCCCTACTCCACTTCCTGAAGTTGATGACCAGCTTCTTTGTTTTGGGAGAGGTTGTTGTAATTAAACCACGCTATTAAGCTCTCTCTCTCTTTCCTGTACTCTGTCTCTTTGTTGTTTAAGATCCAACCCACTACAGTGGTGTCATCAGCAAATTTGTAAATGGGGCTAAAGTGGAATTTGCCCACACTGTTGAGAGTATATAAAGAGTATAACAAGGGGCTGAATATGCAGCCTTTTGGGACACCAGTGGTGAGATTATCTTTTTAGATAACCTTTTTAGATTTAGATTTATTTATTCGTCACATGTACAAAGTATCGGAATAGGTAAGTACAGCGGAAGTGCACAATGCCGCCATTCACTGGCGCACACTTGGTTACGAAAACCAGAATTAAAAGATTTAACAGAGCCAAAAGTTAGGCAAGAGAAAAAAAAGAGACAACAAGGTGCAGGGCTGGATGAACACAGCAGGCCAAGCAGCATCATAGGAGCAGAGAGGCTGGAACTGCAGATGCTGAAAAGTCCAGATCTCAGTGTCCCAAGTGCCATCTCCACAATGGTACAGGCACCGCTCCAATCGCTAGGACACCCAGGAGGCTGCCCCCACCGCCATGCTAAAGGCCAGCCCTTGTCACCTCACCAGCCCACTCTCGCTGCTGACAGCTGCTACCTCACCAGTCCGCTCTTCATCAAACCGGCCTGCTCTTGATCTGCTGCCATCGCTTCGGCCCATGCTCCATCCACCGTCACTGCAGGAGACGCTCCTGCCAAACGACCCAACTCCTTAGGTAGGTAGTTAAAAGGCCAGGGGATGGGGGAAGAGGGATAGAATTACTGCAGAGAGGAGAAACTGGTGAGCAGAGTGGAGCTCTGAATGGAGCGACTTATCCTGCCACCATCTTGCAAATTCTATCCTTAACGGTTGCAGTCTATAGGTCAGGAAATCGAAGATCGAGTTGTGGAGGCAGAAGCAGAGTTCAAGATTTCAGAGTTTGGTTGAAATTATGGTGTTGAAGGCAGAGCTAAAGTTAATAAATAGGAGTCTCATGTAGGTGTCCTTGTTATCCAGACGTTCCAGGGATAAGCACAAGGCCAGGGAGGTGGTATCTGCCGTGGACCTTGGCGATGATACACGAATTGTAGTGGATGAAAATCTGGGAGGCTAGAGTTCATTACGAACATCTCAAAGCACTTCATAATGATGGATATCAGAGCCACTGGGCGGTAGTCATTAAGGCACGCTGCCTGATTTTTCTTTGGCACCAGGATAATTGTGGTTTTCTTGAAGCAGGTAGGCACCTCACATTATAGTAAGGGGAGGTTAAAGATGTTCGCAAATACTCCTGCCAGCTGGTCCACACAGGATCTGAGCGCACCGCCAGGGACTCTATCCTGGCCAGACCCTTTCCCTGGGTTTACCCTCAAGGAGGTTAATCTGATATCTGCAGTGGTAACTGTGGGTACAGGTGCACCTAAGACTGTCGGGGCAGGTGACATCATTTCACTGACCTTCTGTTCAAAACAAGCACAGAATGCATTGAGCTCAATTCGGGGAGGAATGCACTGTTGTCAGCCATTCCACTCGACTTCGTTTTGCAGCCCGTCATATTGTATAAGCTTTGCCATCGGCATGTTTGTGTTTGTGTGATTAGTCTGGGACTCTAGTTTAGTCTGTTATCGGCTCTTGGCGTCCCTGATAGCTTTGTGAAGATCGTACCTGGATTTCCTGTATAGGTCTGGGTCACCAACTTGAAAACCTCAGACCTGGACTTTTCTCTCAGTTCATCCATGGTTGCCGGTTGGGGAACACTCAGATTAACCTCTTTGGCACACAGTCCTTTACACACCTTATTGATGAAGTATGTAACGGCAGTGGTATACTCATTGAGGTTGGCTGCTGAATTGTTGAATATGGAGGAGTCCACCAACTTCAAGCAGTCACGTACAAACTCATCCATTACCTCAGACTAGCACTGTACGAGTTTCTGTAGTGGATTCTCATGCTTCTGTTTCTGCTTGTAAGTCAGGGGAAGGGGCACAGCTTTATAGTCTGATTTTCCAACATGTGGGTGGGGGATGGAGTGGCAGGTGTCTTCATAGCAAAGTTCAAGGGTGTTTGGGCCACTGGTGGGACAGGAGCTGTGTGATGGTATCTTGGTAGCACATTCTTGAGGTTGGCCTGTTTGAAGTCATTGAAGACAATGAAGAAGGCCTTGGGGTATTATGCCTCAAGGCTATCTGAAGCAGTGTATATTTCATTAAGTGCACTGTTCTGAATGGGGTGGAATGTAGACTGTTGTTAAGATAGCAGCAGTGAACTCCCACAGCAGGTGGTAGGGATGGCACTTCACCGTTAGATATTCTGGATCCGGGGAGTAGTAACTCGCCAGGATTGCCACATCTGAGCACCAAGAGGTATTAATTAGGAGGCAGACCCCTCTGCCCTTTTCCTTGCCTAAGGATGCTTGGCAATCTATCCAGTGGATTGAAAAACCTGCAGGATGTAAGAAACAGTCAGGTGAAGCAGGAGTGAGCCATGTCTCTGTAAAACAGAGCACACAGGAGTCTCTCAATGCTCTTTGGTAGCTGAGTCTAATTTCAAGTTTGTCCAGCTTGTTTTCAAGAGCTTGGACATTTGCCAGGAGCATGCTGGGCAGGGGGATCTTGAAAGCGCATTGTTTCAGTCTCACTTGCAGGCCAGCAAGTTTCTTGTGTAAGTAGCTGCCTGCGATTGGGCCTGGGAATTGGTGTGGATGGTCTGCTGTTCCAGAGGTACGTGGGTGTGTCTAGGGAGGTCCTAAACACTGGTTGTGGCCTTGGGTGCCCCGGAGGATCTTGTTCTCGGTCTGTTTGGGCCTCAATGTCGGGACTCTATGAGGTCAGGCCGGGCCACGGAGTCAGGTCTCCGATCGGCGTCTGGGTCAGGGGTATCCAACAGTACCAAGTAAAACACAAAGTGAAACAATCCTGTGCCAATGCACGAGATGGATGCGTGTCCCTGAACAGACAGCGATCCGGTAGGAGCACCGCAATGTAAAGGGTCCATGAGTTCAAAAGTGCAAGGGTGAAACGCGTCACGAGTTAGGCAGAAATCAGCCATGATGATGTGGTTCTTAGGCAATGCTGACTTGTGTTTGAAGGGTGAAGGCAATCACTGACCATGAAACATGTAATGAACTGTTGGTGAATCAACCTTCAAACAGAGGCCCAGAGAAGCAACCAGCAAGCTGCATCCGTGAGGTAACCGCACTGACTTTCAAAGGTAGGAAATGGCACCATCTAGTTTCTCAGCAGTACATACAAAAATCACAGACTGCATGCAAATGTGGCGATAAGCTAATGAGGTACAGATGCAAAAATAGTCATTGCTTACTGGCGAGATTCCGAAATTGTTGTTAAAACCTCAAAGAAAATTGCACTTCTCAAAATAAGAGATGCAGGTATTTTCCCATCATATTCACAGTATGTTTCAACTTTATCCATGCTGCTCAAGAGCCAGGAAAATTCCACCAATTGTCTTTTCATGATGTTGACTTAAGGATAAATATTAGCCAGGACTGTGAAATAGCGTTAAGAGATATTTTATGTCCACTTGCGGATACAGATAAAGCCTCAGTTCATTGTCTCATTTGAAAGTCAACACCCTGACAAGGAAGCACTGGGGTTTCTCAATGCTGAAATCCTGGAATGGGACTTGCACCCACAACCTCTGATTTAGAAACGAGCATGCTACCAACTGAATCATGGTTAGCACCGGCTAACAGAAACTGTTCTCCCAAACAAAAATAAACTTAGTTTATAGGTTTGGTCAATGAAGATATAAATGCAAAGGGGCAAGTGGTTCACAGTACAGAAGGACAACATTAGACCTTATGAGGGGGAGAGGTGCAGTGCAAAGGCCAGGCTAAACATTAATGTGGAATTTTTGTCTTATCTACTAAACCCTGAAGCCTGCCTCATCAGATTCAAGGTAAAATGAAAAAGCACAAACACATACTTACTTGTTTTAATTAAACCTTAGAAACACAAAATAGTTTCAAATCTGTACAAATGGGTTGGATGATGCCAGAGTTCATTCTGTAATCAAAGTAGGAATGTGAACAAAATAACCTCTTTATTGTATTTATTGCCAACTTTGAAAAGATCAAAATGCTGACAGAATAAAGAATTCAAAAAATGTACCATAGCAAACTGCAGAAGATCACACTGGTCTTTTATTCCTGACATCACCAAATGTTCTACCTAAAGAATGATCTACTTCTTGGCAATGCAAGATAATAGAACATCACACCTATCTTACTGAGGATTCATAATCTTGCAGGTTCAAGGTGCCCTTGTATTATAAATGCAAATGCTTCAGCATACAAAAGCATCAGCAAGTTCCTTGGGCAAAGGTGTCCATCAGCTGACAGTGGAGTGTGCTTTCACGCGAAGTTATCATGAATTCCAAAATTCCATTACACAAGTCACATATCAACTTGATGGGAATATTTAAAAAGCAAATAAAAGGCATGTTTTCAAAAGCATCAGGCCTGGGTGATTATGACAGATTAGTGATGAAGTTAATTTTCCATTTCACCACCTCAAGCTACATAATTGTCCACAAATAATTTATTCCCACTCTTCCTGTGTACATAATGCTCAGTAACAAAATTCCAGTCCTTCAAGTACTCACCTAATACGGCAGAAGAAAGACTTCTCTTGCATGCAGTCTGGTGATGATGAATCTGAAAAAATAACAAATTACAGAAACATGATAAAAATTTTCGGAAAGGGTGAAAAGATCATCTTAAAACTGCTAGTTTAGTGAAATCGCACAGTAAAATCTGTTGAGGTTTAAATGACCCAGTGCAGAAGAATCAAAGCTAAAAGCATCAAATTGGACAATAATTTTCTCAAACATAAAATATATCTTTCCTGTTTATTTTGTCAGAGCAACTTTCACTTTTTTGTTTCTAATCTCTTTCAAATTGACAAAAGAAAATGAAAAAGAGAGCAGGGATTACCCCAGTTTACAGGAATCAAGAGAAGCAAAGTTAGTAACACAGATTCATTTTGCATTTTACTTACCATAAAAGTAATGTAAGACTTGAAATAAAATTTTTGTATTAAGCTGAATACAACAGCTCCACAATCTCTCAGTTGTTATCAAATCAAAATGACCCGTTTTACTGCTGTGGGGGCAAACGTTATCCCACCACCAGATAGTAAATGAAGCAGTCATGAGATCTAACCAGCAATTAAGAGAGCACTGCTCATTCTTGCCGACATCTGGGTCTCTGTCACTTCAGTGAAGACGTTGAAATGTGGACTTAAGCACTCTATGGAAACTAGCTGTAGTCTCATTAATTTTGTTGGCATATGGATACCAGTTTTCATAAAAAAAAAAGAACCTTGAGATGGTTCTTTGTAAAAACAAAGGGATGTGAATATACAGCATAAAATTCTACAAACAACGATTGGCAATGACCAGGCATCTCTAAAGCGAACATGGCAGATCACTTAGAAGAGGTGGAAAAAATAACTCTGCTTACAACATTGTGGGCCAGCAATTCCTTCAACAAACCTGCAGTGACTTGGCTCCACAAGGATCCAGATTTCACAAACTTGCCAGCCAGCAGTCTGGTCACCAGAATAGTATTAACAAGGCTACACTGTGATAATGTTTTGGCCTCAGACTTCTTAAATTGAGTGAGTGACTATCTTCTGTCTAACTGGCTGCAGTTACAAGGGTCATACTTGTACAGGAAGGCAGATTAACACAGGTTCTGAAGTATAAAGTGTTAAGCAAATCTTTACGAATGACGCATGCCTGATTTAATCACACCCAATTCTAATCTTTACAATATGAACTTAGTTCAATTTAGGTATCATATTTAGAATTAAATGTGCACAATTTTGGGCACCTGCATTTAAGAAGATATGGATAAGATTCAAAGAGTAGCTAGAATTATTATGGTACCTAGGATCCAAGTAAAAAGAAATTCAGGGCATGTTCATAGCTGAAGTAGACAAAAGCTGCCTACGTACTTGCGTCAGAGCAGAATTTAAAAGACAAGAGTTAAAAATAATCAAACAAGACAGGAGATTAGGATGAACCTCACCCTCCCCAAACAACTGAATATAGAACCTAATTCAGCTTTAGCAGCGTTAGGAGTAACTTCTCAAAAAAAATACTGGATGAAAAGTCTTTTGGGAATATTAATGAAGATTACTGGAACAAGAACATAAATAAATAGATAGAATGTACAGCACAAATGGTCCATTTTCCATGATTCTCTTTCCACACTTTTTATCTAACCCTACTTGGAGTATTTGATTCCACTCTACCTTATGCTTAGCATGTTTCCTTTTGCTATTGGGCTCCACAGCTCCAAGTGGCAGGAAGTTTCACACTCTAGCTACATAAAATAAAACTTGCATATTCATGTCATTGGGCATCACTGGCTAGGCCAGCATTTGCTGCCCATCCATAACTGCTTTTGAGAAGGTTGTGGTGAGCTACCTCGAGTCACTGGATTCCACCAAGTGTAGGTAAACCCACAAGCTGTTAAGAAGGAAGTTCCAGGATTATGAAGGAACAGTGATATAGTTCTAAGTCAACATAACGTGAAGCTCAGAAAGAAGCTTGCAGGCAGTGGTCATAGAATCACCGAGTCATAGAGTAATACAGCATGGAAACAGGCCCTTTGGCCCAAACTTTCCATACTGACCCATGGAGCCTACTCAGTTAGTTCCAATTGCCTGCATTTGGTCCATATCCCTCTGAACCCTTCCCACCCATGTACCTATCCAAATGTTTTTTAAAATGTTGCTATTGTACCTGCCTCAACCACTTTCTCTGGCAGCTCATTCTATATACACACTACTCTCTGCGTGAAAAAGTTGTCCCTCAGGTCGTTCTTAAATCTTTCCCCTCTCACCTTAAAACGATGCCCTCTCGGTTTCAATTCCCCACACCTGGGAAAAAGATTATATGCATTCATCCTATCTACGCCCCTCATGATTTTATACACCTTAATAAGGTCACCCCTTATTCTCCTACGTTCCAAGGAATAAAGTCCTACCCTGGCCAACCTCTCCCTAGAACTCAGGCTTACTAGTCCTGACAACATCCTCGTAAATCTTCTTTGCACTTTCCAGTTTAACTAAGTCTTTCCTATCACAGGGTGACCAAAACTGTAGACAATACTCCAAGTGCAGTCTCACCAACAACTTATACAGCTATAACAGAATGTTCCAACTCCTATACTCAATGCCTCAACTGATGAAGGCCAGCATACTAAATGCCTTCTTCACCACCCTGTCTACCTGTGATGCTGCTTTCAATGAACACTGTACTTGTACTCCTGGGTCCCTTTGTTCCACAACATTCCTCAGAACCTTACCATTTACTGCAAAAGTCCTACCTTGGTTTGACTTTCCAAAGTGCAACACCTCCCACTTATCTGTATTGAATTGCATTTGCCAATCCTCAGCCAACTTCCCCATCTGACCGAGATCCCTCTAATTTCTGATAACTTTCCTTGCTATCAGTGATACCTCCTTATTTTGTAGCATCCGCAAACTTACTAATCATGCCTTGTACATTCACATCCAGATCATTTAAGTAACTAACAATAACAAAGGTCCCAGCACCGACCCCTGTGGCACACCACTAGTCACAGGCCTCCAGTCCAAGAAACACCTTCAACCATCACCCTCCGCTTCCTACCATCAAGCCAATTTTGGTTGAGTTAGCTAGCTCTCCCTGGATCCCATACAACCTAAACTTCATGACTAGCCTGCCATGCGGGACCTTGTCAAAGGCCTTACTCAAGTCCATCTAGACAACATCCACTGCCCTACCCTCATCTATCCTCTTGGTCACCTCTTCGGAAAGCTCTAAAAGATTTGTCAGACATGACTTCCCCCACACAAATCCATGCTGGCTATCTCTAATCAGACCTTGACTCTCTAAATGTTGATTGATTCTGTCCCTCAGTATCCTCTCCAATAACTTGCCTACCACTGATGTCAGGCTTACTGGCCTGTAGTTCCCTTGCTTGTCTTTGTCTTTCTTAAACAACAGAACAACATTAGCCATCCCCCAGTTTTCTGGAACTTCACCAGTGGCTAAAGATGAAGCAAAAATCTCAGCAAGGGCCTTTTCTTCCCTAGCCTCCCACAACGTCGGAGGATGGACTTGGTCAGGCCCAGGGGATTTATCCACCTTAATGCACTTTAAGGCTGCAAACACCTCTCTCTGGTAATGTGTATGCTGTCCAAAACATTTCCACTTGTTGTCCTTATTTCCTTAGCATCCACGATTCTCTCTGGAGAAATATTCATTAAAAATGTCCCCTACATCCTGTGGCTCCATACCTAGATGGCCACGCTGATCTTTACGGGGATCTATTCTCTTCCTAGCCACCCTTTTACTCTTAGTATATCAATATGATATGCAATTGGGATGATCTTTAACATTATCTGCCAGATCCATCTCATACCCTCTTTTTGCTCTTGTGATTTCTCTCTTAACTTAACTTAACTGCCCCTACACTTTTTATAGTCATCTAGGGATTCACTTGAGCCTGATAGCTTAAACCCAACGTATGTCTTCTTATTTTTCCTGACCAGAGTCTGGACTCTTGATATCATACATTTCAAAGCCTCCCATTTGCCAGTCATTCCTTTTCCTTCAAACAGATTCACCCAATTGACTACTGCGAGATCCTGCCTAACGGCCGCAAAATTGGCTCTGCTCTAGTTCAGTACCTTAACCAGTGGACCTGTCCTATCTTCATCCATAACTATGTTAAAACTGAGACAGTTATTGTCACTGGACCAAAAAAGTGCTCTCCGACTGACACTTCAATCACTCGCCCAACCTCGTTTCCTAACAGGAGGTCCAGTGTTGCACCCTCCCAAGTAGGGCCTCTACGTGGTGTTCCCATGCATCTTGTCCTCCCAGGTGGCAAAGGTCATGGATTTGGAAGCTGCTGTTGAGTTGCTGCAGTGCACCTTGTAGATGGTGCTGTTGTGTGTCAGCAGTGGAGGGGGAGGAGTGTTTTAAGGTTGTATCTAGTGCGTCAATCAAGCAAGCTGCTTTGTCCTGGATGATTTTGTGCTTCAGCATTCCTCGAATCCCCATCAGGTGAATTCTCCATTAGATTTATTAATTGTACCACAGAATTTAACTAAACCACATTTAAGACTATCAGTTTCAAAATACGTAGTCTCCTAATCTCCTTTTTCTTCCTCCCAAAATGCCCCAGCTCACACCTAACCCATACTGAAATTTATTTGCCAATTATAGGCCCATTCTGCGAGTTTATCATCTTGTAATATAGTATTTCATTTCACACAGCGGTTTCTGAATTCCTAAAACTGATTGCTGGGGGAAAGAGGGATGATGGAGAAGAGGTGCGGTGGGGGCGTTGAGAGAAGGAAGGATTTGAGGGGATCTGAATAAAATTTGTAAGAATTACATGCATTATCTATACAGGGCAAACAGACAGCCAGGGCTGAATAATGGAAATGTGAAAAATTATAATTAGTTTCAAAATCTGCTCAACAACTTTTGGCAACAAAGGGAGAATTTACACATGAATTCTCTCAGTAGAATAAATGGCTAAAATGGACTCTTATAATACGTATCCATGAAAATCTGGGTTGAATTTCTTGGTTTTTTTTTGCATTCTCTCATGTTGTTAAGGTCATTTGGAAAATTGATTACTGGTTACATAATTGGACAGCTGCGTTTTCTCAATCTGTGTACCAACCAACCGCTGGCAACCATTATATAACAAACTACAACTCAAGAGCTGTGAAAGGATCTGTTAATATAATAAAACTTACTCACCAGCAGCTGTGCACACACTCCACAGAGGCAGTTGAGATGGCTTTGTAAAGCTGTAGAAAACTCCAACATCTTGTGGAGCAAGGAGCTCTGTGAACTTGACATTTTTGAAGACATCTTTATTGCAATTCAGAATTGAAGAGGCTTGGTCAGAGATGTATACAATCTGTCCCGTGATCAGAGAAACAGTTACAGCAAAGATATCCTGCAAAACAAGGCCAAACCAGTGAGTTGAGAAATGAAGCAAATGGTTAGCATTACTACTCTCAGTAACTAGATATAGAGAAACAGTAAATCTCGTAGGTTCTTAATTTACCATTTCATGTCAGATCTAAATTGTGAAGAACCTAAAGTACTGCAATAGTGAATTGTACTGTAGTGGCTATTATCATTCTAGAATTGCTCGGAATGTCTCTTAAATCCAATGTGATTTCAATTGAGGTTCAGTAAACCTACAGTTACATGTGGAACTGAGATTTCTCTTGCTATGAAGACAGAACAGGAAATGCCCCCAAAACTATTTGCCCACAATGAATTTAACAGCTTGAAGATAAATCCTACTTTAGAAGAAATAGGAACAAGAGTGGGCCGATACTTTCCCACCTTTTCCTTCTCCTCTCCCCGTCACATATAGACTCATGCTTCACTTTTCCCCTCCCTGCTTCCCTGCAGCCAGCTCCTTCTTACACCTCCCAACCCAACTTCTAAGTCACTGGGACAAACCTACAATCGAGGAAATTTTAGATGATGACTACAAACAGCACAGTGTGTCTGGAGTCACCTCTTTCAGTACCCTTGGATATAGGGCATCAGGACCTCGTATGTCAGCTTTCAGTCTTTTTTAAAAAAAATGTTAATTACCATAAGTTTCTCACTTTGATCAGATCCTTAGTTCCTGCTACTTCTGGGATGTTTTTGCATCTTCTACCATGAAAGCAAACAAATTATTTGTTTGATGTTGCTGCCATTTCATTAATTCCCATTATAATTACTCCTGTCTCAGCTTTTAAGTGACGAATGCACACTTCTGCTACTCTCAGCCTTTATACCTACTTCTAAAAACTCTTAGTCTGTTTTGATATTTCTGGCTATTTTACTCTCAGGACCAAGACAGGATCTTTTTTATTTTGGCCATCCTTGCTGATATCTAAAATGTTTCCAATTGTCAAAGTCATTACTATTAGTAATACTATAAAAGAAAGAGATCATAACATTGCTATTTATACCCTTCCCAGTTAACCATCGATGGATTACTTTCTTTGTGGAGTTCTTATTTCCCAGTGGAATTCAGATTCATCAATAAAATGAACTATTTCTCTAAAAGTACAATGGTAAACATATCTTCTTCCGCATACCTATGTAATTGGTTTACTTAAGCATAATCACAAATGTCCAATTATATTCAAAATTTCCAACAAAAATCACATTCAATATACATAGCGTATTTTCTGTGACATTGCTCGAGTCAGAAGATAAAATGTTTACATTTATGGTTGTTTAATTTCATTTTTTAAAAAAAAAATTCCAAAAACTTTTTCTATTTGCTACGATAGGATTTGAAATCATGTCCCTAGAACATTAGCCTGGGGTCCTGGATTACTAGGCCAGTGACATTATCACTACGCCATCACCACCTCCCCTTAACACCAGATGTCTGCAGCAGAGATACCAGTTAGGTATCAAGAGATGGTTATATACATACAGCAACATACAGCAAAGGGTATGACAACATCCTGGCCACTTATTTTGTGATCCAAAACTAACTAGACCCCCAGTCAAGCTCTTCCAGATCGCTACAAAATTGGCATCTGCCCGACAATGTGGAAAAAATTGTTCAAATGTGTCCTGTTCAGAAAAGAATGTCAAATCAAACTTGGCCCATTACTAGCGCATCAATCTATCCTGATAATTAGGAAAATTACAGTGCAATCAAACAGAATTTACTCATCAACAACCTGCACAGTTCGAGCTCCATCAGGGTCGTTCAGTACCAGACCTCATTAGTCTTATTAAAAACATGAAAAAAAAAGTGGAAATCTAGAACTGAGGAGGAAGTAATTGCCCTTGACACCAGGATTAACTCCATAGAAGCTGGTATCCTGTCACCAAGTCATCCTTTATTTACATGTGGAGAGTCCTTGACACTGAACCAGCTCCTTGAGAGTGAACAGGATGTCTGACACTACTGTTCCTTTTTTGCACATGGACTCTGACCAGCTAGCTCAAAGCCAGTCCCTAGAGTGAAGAAACTCTGAACCTCCTGTTGATTTTTTCTCTTATCTGTTTGTCCCATCCACACTACCTGTACACCCAAAGGGGGCCCAGCAGTAAGCTTATATTTTCCCCAAATCACCCGTGGCTGCGTGTGTATGTGTAGTGACACAGTAAAAAGGCGCTATTGTGCTAAAACATTATTCTGTACCTTCCACCACCAAGAAAGCACCCACATGGCTAGTGAAACATTAACAAGCAATGCCTGTTAAGGGTAATGCTTACACGAAAAGTGTGGGGTGATTGGAAGAGAAGGAGGGGACGAAATCAAAATAGAGTTGGAGGAGAAAATAAAATACTCCATCCTCCGTGGTGTCCACTTCACCCTAAAGGCATCTGATACTCCTGTTCTGATCAGTCAGCCAGGGCTCCCTGATTAGATCAGGTTAACCTGATCCAATCAGAGGACACATTCTGTGAGGTTCACCTGGCTGTCGTCCACTAAGCAATCCCCCAGCCTCGAATCCAAGGACATATGCTGGTTCATTTTATCGCAGCTCCTCCTGGGGTGTTTTAGCACCAGGTCAGGTTCCTCCACATCTGCCTTTGATATGGGCGGCATGTAATGCACAGCAGCTCACCTGTTAGGCCCGGAGCATCTCAAAACAAAAAAATCATTCTCTTCTTCGGGTGAGAAAGGCATTGACATCCAGTAGGTCCACCTGAAATTCTGAGGAGGTTTCTTCAATGCTTACTAGAGAGGGAGAGCCCACAGGTTACAGAACAGATGGAAAGGCTGTGGAGGAACTGGAAACATTTTGCTCCTGCACCATTTGAGAGTCTGCAAATTTCATATGGTCCACGTGCTTATTCAGGACTGTCGCATCTACCCAAACTTTAAATGTCACTGGACCCAAACTTGTGTTGACCATGCCTCTTACCCATGCAGGGCCATTCCCATGGTTCCTACACCAAACATCAACCCCTTAAGTAAACTGCGTCACTCGTTTAGCAGAGTCTTGGGTCCAGCACTGGTGTTCCTGATGCCGTTTCACCCTCCCCTCCACTCCAGATTGGGAAGATCAGATTTAATGTTGTACAGCAACTCTACTGGAGCTATCCCTGTGGTTGCATGAGGGGTGGTCCTATAATCAAATTGGTACGTAGTGAAGGTATAGATTATTTCTTTGAACCTGCCTCAAAGTTTGGACTGCTGTTTCTGTCAGACCAAGAAGCAGAGCAGAATGTAGGACAAAAATACATCTTCCCTAATGTGCTCAAATCATTTTACACACATTTCAAACACAACTTCAGTAAAATGATGTCATCTGCCCCGACAGCCTGGGATGCACCTGTTACCTCGATCACTGCTGCAGACATCAAATTGGCCTTTTTTTTTTTTTTTTTTAAAAAAGAGTGAATTCACAGAAAGTGACTGGCCCAGATGGAGGCCATGGTTGTGCACTCAGATCCTGCCCGTACCAGATAGCAGGAGTATTCAATGACATCTTTAACCTCTCCTTACTACAAATGTGAAGTCCTCACCTGCTTCAAGAAGACAACCATCTTCCTGGTGCCAAAGAACACTCATGCAGCATGCCTCTATGACTACCACCTGGTGGCTCTGACCTCCAAAATTATTAAGTGCTTTGAGAGGTTAGTCATGGCTCTCATCAACTACCATCACAACAGGTCCACAGCAGATACCATCTCCCTGGCCCCATACTCATCCCTGGAACAACTGGATAACAAGGAAACCCACGTCAGGCACCTACTAATTGACTACGGCTCCGCCTTTAACACCACAATTCCAAATAAACATCTCCAAACTCCGAGATCTAGGTCTCAGCTCCCTCCACTACAACTGGATCCTTGACTTCCTGACCCACAGAACACAATCAGTGAGTACAGGCTACAGCACCTCCTCAATGACAATCCTCAACACCAGCGCCGTGCAAGGCTGCGTACTCAGCCCTTTTACTGTACTCTCTGCACACTCATGACAGTGTGTCTAAATTTTGTACTAACTCCATCTACAACTTCGCTGATGACACCACCCCATTGTAGGACGGATCTAAAACAAGGACAAGAAGGAATATAGGAAAGAGACAGAGTGGTTGGTGGTGAGATGTAAAGATAACAATCTCTCCCTCATCATCAGCAAACCAAAACAGCTGGTCACTGACTTCAGGAAGCAAGATGAAGGGCATGCCCCAGTCTACATCAATGGTGCTGAGGTGGAGATGGTCGAGTGTGTCAAGTTCCTAGGAGTGATGATCACCAACAATCTGTCATTGTCCACCTGCGTTGACGCAACGGTCAAGAAAGTACAACAAGCTTCTCCTTTCTCAGGAGGCTAAGGAAATTCAGCATGTCTATAACGACTCTTACCAATTCTTTTTAGATGCACCATAGAAAGCATTCTATCTGGTTGCATCATTTGGGTTGGTATGACAACTGCTTTGACCGGGACCGTAAGAAATGACAAAGAATTCTGAAAACAGCCTAGTCCATCATACAATCAGCCTTCCACCCACATTTCACACTGCTTCAGGAAGGCAGCCCACATAATCAATCAACACTCCTCCCACCCCATTTATAATCTCTTTGAACCTCTTCCATCAGGCACAGCATACAAAAGCTTAAACACATGGACCAACAGATTCAATAACAGCTTCTTTCCCGCAGTTATTAGACTTCTGAATCAATCTCTCACAATAGCAACATTCAAGGAGTACCTGGACGATTACACAAATAGGAAGGGAATAGAGGGATGCAAATCCCATAAATGAAGACAGTTTCAGTAAGGAAAGGCAAAATGTGTTGGCACAGGCTTGGAGGCCGAAGGGCCTGTTCCTGTGCTGTTTTGTATTTTTGTTTAAATTTAATGTTGATCTCGCTCTTTGTGCGCCTTCTCTGCAGCCATATCATTGCATTCTTCACTTTGTTTTATTCCCCTAAGACACATTATGTCATTTGATCTGCCTGTACTGCATGCAAAACGAAACTTGTCACTGTTCTTAGGTATACGTGACAATAATAAATCAAATCAATGGAAGATGGATGGTATGGAGCTATCCTTGTATGTCTTAATACTATGCATGTTTAGGAAATACTCAAATTCCCTGCTGGTAAACGAAGGCCTGTTATCTGTGGCCAACGCATATTTTGCAGTACACAAACTGCAAGAAGTGCACAGTTTTTCTCTCATTGCCCCCGCTTTGATGAACGAACTCTATGCACATCCAGCCATTTCGAGTGGATGTCCACAATGACATGTAGCCGAGTCCAGGGTTTACCTGGCCATTCCCACGAATGTGGAGGAGCTGCTGGCATAATTTTTGTACTTGTCGGCACTCTGGGCGCTGCCCCACCGATGCGATTTTGTCTGCATTCAATCCTAGCCACAAGATATAACTTCTCGCCAATGTCTTCACTTTGGAAATCCCTGGATGACCCTGGAGGAGTTCAGCCAATATCTGGCAGCAACCTTTGCTTAGAATAATCATTCTTGCTCTCCATAATATGCCATCCTCTACTATGATCTGGTTTCTCCAGGTCCGAAAATGTTTCAATTTTGGTTGTGATGGCCCTTTGGTTCCCTTCATCACCACCAGCTGTTTCAGTTTTGCCAGGATCAGATCTTTCTGCGTCCAAGGTCTGATATTGTCAGCTGTAACTGGACGCATGTCCAGAAAATTTAAAACAATTACTTCTAGTGGCAGTACCACGGCAGTGCATCTGCCAGTGGCGGCTCAATGCATCTACTTGGCCTTCCGGACGGTGTCCCAACTTGTAATTATACGCACTTAATGTGAGAGCTGACCGTTGAACTCAGCCTGAAACCACTTGCAGCAGTGCCTTGTCCTCTAAGTGGACCGAGCAAAGGTTTGTGATCCATTATTATTACTAACTTACATTCATAAAAGTATTGGTGGAACTTCCTAACTCCAAAAATGATCACCAAACCTTCATTCTCTATCTAGGTGTATATCCTCTGCATTAGCCAAAGTCCTGGATGCGTACGCTCTCGGGCATTCTCTCCATTGGGCCACCTATGAACTAATACTACCCCAATGCCATATGGGGAAGCATCACATATCAATACCAGATCTCACTTGGGATCATAGCGTGCCAACATCTTAGAGGACGATAGCGGTTTCTTCACTTCCATGAAAGCCATGGCTTGGCTATGTGGCCATTTCCGAAGCTGACCCTTTTTTAAGAGTGGATGAAAAGACACCAGGATGGAGGCCAGGTTACGTATGAACTTTTCAGAATAATTCACCATCCCATGGAAAGACCTAAGCTCCGGTACAGACGTGGGAGCTGAGGCATCTTTCATCACTTTCACTAAATCTTCTATCAGGTGTAGCCCAGTCTTGTTGACTCTGTAGCCCAAGTGGGTCATTTGGGGTGCCTGGAACACACATGTTCCCTTCTTATACATAGGCCTTAGATGATTCTCCAAGATGGACGTATGCCCAAGTTCTCCAGGTGCTCCTTATTGGTCTTGTCTCTCATCAACATGTCATCCAGCTAAGCAGCGACTTGGGGTAGACTTGTAAAAATTCTCCATTATCCGCTGAAAAATTGCACAGGCTGACATTACCCCAAAAGGCAGTCTTGTATGTTGATACAAACACTTAGGGGTATTAATTGTGGCATACTTCTGGGAATCCTCATCTAACCACAACTACAAGTACGCATGGCTCACGTCCAGCTTTGTGAAGGACAGCGCTCCCTGTCAGCTTTGCTTATAAATCCTCTATGTGAAGAAGTGGGTATTTATCCAGCTGTGAAAAGCAGTTTACTGTTTGTTTAAAATCCCCACAAAAGGCAAACTGACCCGTCGGGCTTCACAATTGGTATGACTAGTGCTGCCCATTCCGCAAACTGGTCTGGTTTGATGATTCCTTTGCTTTCCAGCCTTCAGATTTCTGCCTCTACTTTTGCCTGTAAGGCAAGTGGCACTGGGTGGGCCTTGTAGACTCATGAAATTGCTTCCTGATCAACTTGAAAAGTGGCCTTGGCTCCTTTGACAGTTCCTACATCTTCCTGAAAACTTTCCAGGTATTTAATTAGGACTTCACTCAGGCAGCCGTTTTCTAATTAAGAAATATTGAACCAATCTAGGTGAATCTTTCTCAACAAATTTTGCACCATCAGAGTTGGGCCGAAGCCTTTTACTACAATCAATGGTAGCTGAACCAGATGCTTCTCATGAGAGACCGGAACTGAAGTTGTATGCTTAATGTGTAATGGTTCCGCAGTGTAGGTTCTCAGACTAGCCAAAGTCTTGTGCAAACTAAAGGGTTGGAGTCCAGAGCAAATTTTGTTAAAGACTAGTTCTGCAATCACTGAAATGGCGCCAGTATTGACCTCCATTAGAACCAGGTGACCATTTAACTGGACGTTGCTTCTGATTTGGATGTTGCTAAGCAGTTTAACTATTCCAAACCAGACATAGGAGAACTTTACAGGGTGTGCATTCTCCTGGATACCTGCCTGTGAGTTCTGTTACTCAATATAGGCCTAGCGTTCTAGATGTGACCTCCTCTACATCGGGGAAACCAAGCAGAGGCTTGGGGACCACTTTGCGAAACACCTACGTTTGGTTCGCAACAAGCAACTGCACCTCTCAGTCACGAACCATTTCAACTCCCCCTCCCACTCCTTAGACGACATGTCCATCCTGGGCTTCCTGCAGTGCCACAACGATGCCACCCGAAGACTGCAGGAACAGCAACTCATATTTTGCTTGGGAACCCTGCAGCCCAATGGTATCAACGTAGACTTCACAAGCTTCAAAATCTCCCCATCCCCAACTGCATCCCAAAACCAGCCCAGCTCGTCCCTGCCTCCCTAACCTGTCCTTTCTCCCACCTATACCCTCCTCCCAACTCAAGCCCCACCCCCATTTCCTACCTACAAGCCTTATCCTGCCCCCTTGACCTGTCCGTCCTCCCTGGACTGATCTATCCCCTCCCTAACTCCCCAGCTACACTCACCTTTACTGGCTCCACCCCCGCCTCTTTGACCGGTCTGTCTCCTCTCCACCTATCTTCTTCTTTATCCATCTTCTATCCGCCTCCCCCTCTCTTCCTATTTATTTCAGAATCCCCTTCCCCTCCTCCATTTCTGAAGAAGGGTCTCAGCCCGAAACGTTAGCTTTCCTGCTCCGTTCATCCAGCTCTACACCTTGTTATCTCAGATTCTCCAGCATCTGCAGTTCCTACTACCTCTACGATATACTACCTGCTTTGGACAAACTAGAGGTTGTTTGTTTTCCTTTAAGAAAGAAAGAGAAAAAATGGTGTCAGGAATAATAGTTGATTGATTATTTTTATGTTAGCTGTGTTCAGGAAAGACCGATCATAGTCTTATGTGATAGTTTCAGTACTTACTGTATTTTTCAAAGTATATTCACTTGTAATGTTCTCGACCTCATCAATGGTGAAGGAGTTTATACTCAAGCTACTTGGTTCAGAGTCATCATTCATTAGAAACTTGTAGTACTCTTCATTAGCTGCAGCAAGAATCAAATGACAAACCCATAGTTATAATTTTAAATACTCACTGAATTAAAGAAGTGTTATAGTCAAAACATTTAAAGAGGACCAATTATATCTCCAAAACAAAGACAAAAAGGTATTATTCACTGATACAATAAGGTGTAGAGCTGGATGAACACAGCAGGCCAAGCAGCATTGGAGGAGCAGGAAGGCTGACGTTTCGGGCCTAGACCCTTCTTTAGAAAACCCTTATTCGCTTTCGGATTCAGAATACAAAAGGTCCCTAAAAGTATTTAAAGCAAAACTGCTGGATATAATTATAAAATACCTTACTTTAATCCTTTCTGTCTAGTGGACAGCAGATATATAACAATGTGCTGTTAAAATCATCCAGTTCATTAATCCACTCCCAAGATGTCAGAATTTGACCTGTCTTTAACCTGCTGTACTAAGCATGTGACAGGAAAACAGAGCCAAAAAGCACAGGCTCCTGATACTTCATTGGGGCCTGGGTACAAATTTTTAAAATCAACAGCCTTAGCAGGAAGCCTGTGGTTTGAAATTTTCTTTTAAAAATCTCCCTCCATATCGTGACAACCAGCTCTCGTCATTCCATATACTCTAATATTATCAGTCCATGCAGGTAGGATATAAATGGGAGTACCTCTCTCTTGCCCATCCTCACAAGTGTTATTCTCTTAAAAGTACAGTACAGTAAGCCTACCTCGGACTTGTTTTACACATCGTAGAGCATACTTCAGTGTAGAAAGTGTCCTGGATTTTCCTTTAGTCATCTTATCAGATGGAAGGTGTCTTTTTAAGACACTTAGTGCTTTTATCAATTCTTTCTGTGTCTTTGCTTTAGCGGATTGATCACTACTGCAATACAAATACAAACTCATAGCTTTAGCCCCAATATCTTGAAAGGTATATCTATAGGCAACACTCATGGCCATCATAAACTAAAATAATCTAAGTTAAACAGATTAGTGTAAACAACCTGAAAACAAAAATAAAGATAACTTTACACTAATCTTCTTAGTCTTTTTATTCAGTAATTTTATTCATTAAAAATTTAAACAGCAAAATGTGAGATGTGTACTGTGATTTCACTCTTGACTATGGCCTACCACCATATTAAGATAGGTAAAATAGGTAAGTGAATTTATTCAGAACAGTTAAACTACAAAAACAAATAATGTCCCATTTTTGTTCCCCTGTCTGTGCTGAGTAATCTGAAGCCAAGCAGGATGTGGTCCTGCACATTTGAAAGGTGAGTGATGGGAAAGCTAGAGCTCTTGTGTCTAAGTATTATCTAGTGACCCTTGCTGAAAATGTGCACATATGATCATCAGATGACTACATCGGTTCTACATGCCTGATTATGTAGTTGGCATTCACTCAAGGCTCACAACAAAAAATAGGCAATTGGGTAAAATCTCATTGGATGAATGGGGGTTGTAACAGTGTGTCTAGCAAGGGACGAATAAAGATTTGCAGGAACAGGATGTGGAGGAAAAAAAAACCCAAACCGCCCCCGTCAGCATGCTGTCATGTTTGATACATCTGTAAGTAACTTGCAAAAGGAACAAACCCATTATTTTAGATGATGTGCAAACTTTTAAAACAGCAGTCATCATGTTTCCAGGAACTGTACTGGGAATTTGTTATTATTAAGACAGACAGCAAAAATGAAAATATCTTGCATTCTTTATTTTTTGCAAATTACAACAGCAAAACAGAGTGAACTGGAACTGTTCTGGTGAAGACACCCTGAACTCAAAATGTTAACTCTGCTTTCTTCCCACAGATGCTGAATTTCTCCAGCAATTTCTTTTTTTGTTTGGAACCACAAGATTGTATTTGTAATAGAGCAGTATGCATGACTGCAACTGATACAGTATCTTTAAATGTAACATGTCAATGCATTGCCTTCACTAGTTTTGGTGGGTGGGGGGAGGGGCGGGGGCGGAATTTAAATCCTTAAAACATTTGAGAACTGGCAAAGAAAATATTTTAGTGTCATTAAATATTTCATTTGTTTAGCAACTGTTAATCTACTGTCTTGAGGTGGAAGAGAAGACAAGAGAAAAAAATCTATTTAAAAAGGAGGTTTACTACATCACTGGCTCATCAACTGGACTCAGAATTGTTCCCTCTCAAAAATTCCCACAGGCAAGAATCAGGCATGAATTGCCCACTCAGCACTGATTGGCACCTTGTTCAGACAGGCCAGTACAGGAAATGAAAAATATCTGTGCGTTGAGGTGTTAAACAGGTTGCAGTCAAAGAACATTGGTGGGCAGACTAGAGGGAGGTTATGACATGTACATATGATGTGCCTCACCTGCAAGCATCAGCACCAACAGACTACAAGTGTTGTGTTTACCTTCAGTAACATTCTTCATTTTAAGCAACAAAAAATTCCAAGTGTTTTTTTAAAAAAAAAAGCACCTACCTGCAACCACTTGTTGAAGGATTGTCTTGTTCTGAGCTAGCACTAATGAGACTGAATCCATTTGAGCTGCTGCGAAGGGACAGGCTCTGGGAGTTGGAACTGCATAACAAAAAAAAAATTGCACTACTTTTATCCTCTAGGGCAGACATTCTCTCTACAATAAATGTCTAGAGCAATAGCAATGTTAAAAACACAGTCATTAGCTTCAGACATTTATCAAGTTTCACACTGAGCTGTACTGTTGACCAAAGTGTCTAAAGCTTTCATGAGGGCTCTCTTTGGCTATTGGCTGGAGGAGGTGGGGGCGGGTTAGAGGCATGAATTTTAAATTACCAGGCAGCTGGAATACTTCAGCCAACAGCTGTCGTGGAAATAACAATTCATTTCAAAATCTTACATCAAAAATAGGTGCAGGATTAGGCCATTTGGTTCTTTATCTTGGTACTTGTTAATATGATGGCACGCAATAGTACACTCTCAAAGCACTGAGATGCAATTTGGCAGCTCTGAGCCAGGAGAATGACTGTAATGTCAAATTTCACTGAGCAGAACATCCTCAACAAAGCTGGTCATTAAGGTAGCATCAGCGTTCTACCTGCATCATAAAATCTGTATTTGTACCAAGTCAGAAGGCTCTCATCCAATTTAGACAGTGTCTTGGTAGTCTGTGAAAACTCCAGAGGATAACATGAAAGCTGAATGGAGCCAAGACACCAATTCCACCACGACAGTTTTAGCTATACCAGTCCCTGAACCATTAGGAGTAGGGGGTTAAAATTAATACTGGACCTCTTGTTTCAATAATTGGCAGTATTAAAACGTTGGAAATTGTCTTTGCTGTTCCAATTAATGCCAGTAGTTGTGCTGAGGTAAAGTCAAGAACTGAGTTTACTCTACAAACAGTCAACAGTTAAACACAAATAAAAGCAAAATACTGTGGATGCTAGAAATCGGTTATAAAAAGCACAGAAAGTAATGGAGAAACTCAGCAAGTTTAACAGCATCTGCGAAGAGAGAGAGTTAACGTTTACAGTCTGATATGACTCTGATAGTTGCTGTGTTTTGAAAAAAAAACTCATATTGGAATAGAAATGTTAACTCAATTTTTCTCTCCAAATATGATGCTAGACCTGCTGAGTTTCTCCAGCACTTTGTGTTAAATGGCAAATAAAAGCAGTGTAGAAAAAAAAAGTTTGGAGAATGTCCAGGAGTCAAAACACAGGGCAATACAGGCAGCCAGGAAAATTTACCATCCCATTCGAGTTAATTAGGATAGCCAAAGTAAATTTTGCAAACATATCCAGACAAACAACACACTAATAAAATAAAGCCATTATTAATTGGGATCTGATTGGTGCAGGAAGATTAAGTGCAAATACTAACTATACCTATCACCAACATTTCATTAACCAACACCTTAAAAAGACCTAGATAAGACAGAATGTAAAATAAGGGGCTCCCATCAAAATGCCTATGAGAGTCACAAGTGTTTCTAAAATATATTTTGTTCAAATGCCTGTTCGGTAATCTAGCAAAATCAATCCTTGAACTTAAAATTTTAGTTTTATCCGAGAAGCAAGAGAAGAAAAACACTCAAGTTATGATTTTCTATGCACTATTTGCAACGAATCAGTGAAAAGTTTTCTGGAGATTCATCATTTTCCTGCAAAGAGCAAAGAACATTATCTTCATGCTGCTTTATCTATCTTGCAACAATTCAACATTTATTTTGATGTCCTGTATACTTGGCCATTTATATCTTGTTTCCATGCATTTAGAACCTTCTGCGAAAAGCAAAAGTAGTGAAGCCCATTGATCAGGATAGAGCAAGAAATTAAGGAATGTCCATCAAAAATATATGTCTGACATGTAGGAATGTCCTAAATGCCCTTGAGAAGGTGGTGGTGAACCGCCTAATTGAACCACAGCAATTCGTGGCCGGGTAGGTACACTCACCATGCTGTTATGAAGGCTGTCACTCATTCAATATGTCGGAACTAAGAAGGAAAAGCAATAAGGTTCCTAGTCGAGATAGTATGAGGCTTGGAGGGAAAGTTGCAGCTGGTGGTGCCCTCATGCAGCTGCTGCCTTTGTCCTCCTGAATCATTACCCAACCAACATTTTAAAATGTTCTTGTACCAAACTGCCACCTTATTTTGAAGAAATATAACTATCTGATTTATTTTCTATGTGTTTCTATTTCAAATAAACATTAGTATGAACATAATCAGCTACTGTACACCAAATTATGAATAACAACTTCTACTCTCAAACACCTTTTGAAATCTTTGTGATTGCAGACTCCTTCAGTGGTTACATAATATTATTACAGCATATACCGGATCTTGAAATCCTGTCACAAGCACACAAAGCACATGTGATCAGCAGTCTGTGTTATACAATCATAGTTACATGATCTTATGAATGCTTTGTGGCTAATAACTCTTCAATCCATCTTCATAAGGCTCACAAAACCTGTACCACTTCCTACTTGATGGGCCATTTTAAAGAAGTAGCATCTTATAATGCAAAACGAAAATTCAACACATTTTTCGAAGAAAAAAGCAAGAGGGAATAGTCATTTTCAGTGTTCCAGCAGCTCTACTGCAATATGTTGACTCACTATAATACACATTGCCTAATTAAATGCTTGGTTTTTATTTGAGATCCTCTAAACAGATTTTACTGAAAAGGTTTGAACCTTATTTCAGGATATGTACTCCACTATTTCCAAAAAAGAAAGGCAAGTGAACTAAGATCTGTAAGGTCCCTGTTTCATATCATAATCTATGTCTGGTTAAGATCACAGCAGACAATGATTGAAAAGCTCATCAGCAGGTTGGACAACAAAACATTAGTCCAAGTTCTTTCATGTGATTTTCATCCATTTGATAATGCACATGTGGAGGTTAAATGAGTCACAAATGTGATCCTTGCTACAGAATAAATTGCTGACCCCATTCATTAGACTCAAAAGTACAAGCATTTGGGTGAGGTGCTGGATACACATGCATAGGGGGGCCATCACACCATCTCTGTAACTAATCAAGTATCTTCAGGCAAGGAAGGGAGAAGTTTAAAAATGATAGTAGTAAAAAAAATTCGTATAAAACTAGAATTGCCAACATTGTTCAATACCCGAGGAATAGTGAGCTGTGAAAAATCATTATAAAGATCTCTAAAAGGGTAACAATTTCTAAAGAAAATAAATCGAGTGGCATACTTATAAGAATGTAACTAATTTTTGATGATATCAATACAAAAGCTTAATCCTTAGAACATGCGCTTTTAATCTGGACTAGGAAGATGCCTTCCCTCAAGATCACTGATGAACTTCTTGCAACCCTTCTTGTTATTAATATTACCATCACTAATGTTGATAAAGAATACATTAACCAATTGTAAAAGGAAATGCCAAACCTCAATACTGTACATCCATATTATTTTAAATACATGAGTAGAAATTACTTGGAACCAACCTGTCAGTAGGATTAAATTTTTCAAATGACAGAGGCATGAAAGGAAGCCTCTTATTTCGGATATATACTTCAGCAAATCTTCGTTTTCTTTTCTTTGTATTAGTACTTCAAAAATTACACAGCAAACATAAGAATGTCATATTTTATAGCATGACAAGATAAAACAAAGTATATGTACTATTTGATAGATATAGCATAGTCATGCACCAGTTTATTTAAATTTAAGTAAGGTTAAGCATTTAATTTGTACAAGTTATTCCCCTAAGTAATGAACATGGATTTTTCAAATGACAATTCAATTTACATTTATCTTCGATACATTCAACATGTTCAATATTGCTTGAGTAACTTGGCAAAGCTGGAAAAGACAGTTAAAGACAGAGGTCCAAGTTACTTGAATTTGCACATCTGAAACATTAAAAAAATGCAACTTGGTTCAAAGTGTCCAATGGAAAGTACTGGATGATCAAATCATTTAATTCTCAACTAAAAAAAAAGAGAGAGTGGTCAAGCATAAGGAGTCAGAAAGGAATGAAAGGCTTTTCTTGTTTCCTTGGTCTCCCTGGCATTACAAGCTGTTGAATTAGTGGGCCAGCTACCCTTCCTCTTCCTCCAACAAACGCAGCCATGAAACCTCCCAGTGGGAAGTATGAACAATCAACAAGACTACCTCTACCTTAGTTAATTTTCGTTTTGGGAAAGTATGTGATCTCCATTCCACATAGATCAAAAACTCATCAGATAACTAACTGCATGTTTGTGAGGAAGAGGAGGTGGAAATTTTAGAAATATGCAAAGCAACATCACACTACTCTGTTTGAGCTAACAATGAAATTCAGTAGCAACATAGCTACAGTAATACATGATCTACAGGCATCAAATAGAACTTGACATATTGTCAACTGCCAATATGTATTTGATATGAGAAAGAGCACCTATATTGATTTTACCAGTGACAACTTAAATTTTCATGCTTCTTGGTTTTGATAATTACATTGCACATGATGCATGGTATAGTAGGGAAGTGTCACAAAAAATGCACATCACTATCACCTAATGCATTCAGTATGCATCGGAATACTGCAGGTGGTTTGAGAGCAAACAATTTAATGCATGCAGCAAAAACACACAGTAACAAAAAGAAATTTCCATAAAGACATGAATTTTAATATGGCTACTGCTCCATTATAATGCAATTATCATTCTGTAATCATTATATTCTGTCATATGTAATTTTAGAATTGTTTTCCAATAAGAATCCCATTATGGCATATCCATAATAAATGTGTTCGGAATGAAACAATAGTTCGTCACCTGTTTTATTTCAATATTAGAAGTTTTTCTGGTAGGGTTAAGAGACAAGAAGAAACATGAAGAAGAAGAAAAAAGTACCGGCTGACTTTTTCCAATACTTTTCCCACCTTTGGTCGAGAACACATCTGGACAAATAAAGAAAAAGTACCACTTTTAACTTATAAAGCAAAGCAAAGCAAATCTAAAGTGATGGAAGGACTATTCTTATGATTAACTGTTTCAGTGCTTGTTTAGTTCAAATGATCATCAAAAGTATCAAACCAAACCTTAACAATTAATGAACCAAGTTGCTTGACAAATCACATTTTTTGAAATGTATTCAGTGTGATTCCACAATGAAACATCTGACAAGTCTAATTTCATTATGAAAGTTCAATATCAATTGGTGATAATATCAACAGGGTTTACAGGGATTGACAGGCAAACATTGTACACTTAGTTTTGAACAGCCCTTTAAAATGCTGGAGCAGTAATAGTACTTCTACTGCTCCAAATACATTTGTACGGTTTCCTACCTTTTGCTGCTCTCTAACGAATCCAAAAGTAGAGCTGAATCTTTTCCATTTTGACTGGCGCTACTGCTCGAGCTCTCTGAAAATTCATTCACATTTGAATCAGTCCCACTTGAGCCATTACTTTTCATCTCCACATCATCATGCAGTTGCTGTACTTCTCGATCTGGTGTCTGATCCTGAATATTGGCACTACTTGAATGCAGGACCAACTCAGCCTCTTGGAACCCAGATTCTGAATAGGTAGCCATTCTCTGATGTCAGTCTGAAGAACAAGAATAAGAAACGTATTTATCAAAACCATCAGAAATACACTGGTTAATGACCTTCTCCTGGAAACTTGACAGAATTTATGTACTTTCCTTGCCAGCCGTAAAAATAGGAAGCAACAAAAGTTTACTTCTAAGATTAAGGATGACTTGTACTCGATCACAAAATCAAACCTAAGAAGTCAGATATCCCCCTACTTTTATCTCTTCAAACTATTGATTTGTGTGATCAGTAGCTTTTGATTCTTGCCAAATACCGTAAAACAAACAAACAAACAAACAATTTCAAAACAAAGAAGAATATTACTAATTCCAAAACCGTTTCAGACACAAAATCTGGAAACAGGAATAGGGTTGATTGGGGAGGAACACAATTCCCATTGTGACATCAGTACGGAGCGGGATCGCAGATGCACAAATGTTGTCAATCAATGGATCACTGGATATCAAACATCAAACAAGCAACGATCAGAAAAAGCTCCTTCTTATCTAATTTCACAATAGATTTCAACTCCAACAGCAGTGGAGTACCTAGTTCCAGTGCGACATATCCTAATTTCCTACAACATCCATCCTTGTGGTCAGCTGCACTGCTTATATTTGTTCCATGTTTTGGGAAGCTATTATAGTGTGGCCCCTTTCATTTGGAACAGATATGAGTCTGCCCAACTCATTTTATACCATGTGGAATTTTCAGCCCACCATGGTTGTGCACAGGATTTTCCTTAACAGGACAAAGCAGGCAAAAAGTCTTCATGTCCACAATGCAGTTTAAAAATTTAAAAATGCACATTGAGTAGAACATTTTCTCGGATTTCAAGAGCTCAGCTCAAGACAGATTGTTCCACTCAAATTATAGCACAGGATGTGCTTCTCAGTCAATTGTGCCTGTACTGGTGAAAATCTGGGGCTATCTACTCAACCTGCATATCTCTACCAATTCCTAGAGTAGCTTGCACTTTTCAGTTTCAAACTAATATTTATTCATGTTAAATGTGGAAAGGTCACAAACTAAGGCCTTCTCACCGTAATACACTGAGGACTGGAACCTGTGAAGACCCCTTTGGGCTGTATATAGAGAATGTTTGACATGAGAACAAACGTATATTCTTGTAATTCTCAAAACCTGTAATTTTAAACAAAATAAATGAAACTTTTCAGTGCCACATTACTCTCCTGGGAAAGTGAATTTTATCTGTCAAATTTGAACTGATCATGTAGTTTTGAAAAAAAAATCAAGTTTACTTGTTTAGTAAGTTACTTTTTAATTACTTCCCTTTAAAATAATATTAGTAGCAAGAAGCAAATGTAACCTGAATTTTAAACGCTGGTTCAACAGCCCATTTAAGGGGAGATGTTGGATTAATGGTAATGTCTTTGTTTCAAAGGTATTGACTAATGTGCTGCAGTCATGGTTTCAAATCCCACACATCTAGTACACTGTGGAATTTAATAAATCTGGAATATAACTAGTCTCAGTAAAGGAGACAATGGAAACAATATACATGGGTTTAACAATAATCATTTTCACAAATATCCTTTTTAAAATGAAGGAAATTTTGCATCATCACCTGGTGTGGCCTCCACGTGACTCCAGGCCCACAGCATTCATTGACTATTAACTGGTCTCTGAAATGACCTAGCATGACATTCAGTTCAAGGCCAATCAGGAAAGGACAACAAATGCTAGTGGCACCCGCATTCGAGGAAAGGGCAAAAGAAAACAAAAGTTTGAACCCAAAAGAAATCAAACATGCAGATGAACCGGGTAGTTCAGTTCACTGCTGTTTGAGGCACAGATATTTCATAAGTTGCTACATTTATTCCTTCATGCCAATTAAAAAAGATGGACGTATTCCAGACATTTCATTTTGCTGAACTAATTCATTTTCCAGCACCTACAAAATAATTAAAGTTCTCAAACTTATGAAGCAATATGCAATGGTTCATCTTTAAGTCTACCAGTTCACCTTGAAATAGACCACTGATGCAAAAATCATTTCTGGCCCAACAACCCAGTGATGTTTTAAATTAATTTATATTTTCTGCTTCAGCAACAGAAGTTGAACATCAACATCACAATGTAAAAGAGAAGTCATTCCCAACAGATCTATGGACTTTACAGTTAGTTACCTACAGTGACTGTTATAAAGATAAAAGAAAGTTTGACATTTTGGGTATGTAACCTTTCATCACAACCAGCCATTCGATTAAGCGTTACATCTGAAATGTCATGGTCTGGCTTTCCTCTTTACAGTTGCAGACTGTCCTGCTGAATGTCTTTTTTAAAAATTTTTGTAATCTGGGATTATTAAAATACAAGTGCAGTTGGTTTGACTATGATAGTTTCAACAAAATCTTTTCTCTGCTATCCCTCTCCACAACACAAATAGCAGCAAATCACAGTCATGTTCAAAACAGTATCATGCAAATCAAAACAGATTTTTGTTTACATGTAAAAGTACTCCACAGGCATAACATTTTCAGAAATCAAGATCAACAATAATGTTTTACCATGATAGATTAGAACAAAACAAAAAAAAAGGGACAATGATACAACACATATTTGATCAACAGGAAACTGACTTGTGTGTAACTTCTGACATTAATTCTAATATCTGGAAAACACAGGAAAAAAGTAAACGCCATGAACAAGATTTAGCATAATCTTCTGTTTTGGCAACAATAAACTGTATCGGGCGTAACTTTAAATACTGACAGTAGTTTTTAATACAATCATAGAGACTGCCATGCCGACACCCACCAAAGTGTGTATGATGACAACAATATGTATGATTCAAATAAAAGTATAACACAGCAAGTAAATCAGATGCAAACAATTTAGAGTTAGAACTATACCTCCAATCCGACAAACTTCATAGATCTACTAGATTCCAGGCACATGCAATTCTAATTGCTATAATTTAACAGCAGTGAGCCTTCTGCTGTGAAAAATACAGCAGTAATTTAGGAGAAAGCAGCACAATAAGAACATGTGCCTGAAATTATGCAATTATCACATGTATGATCATTGTGATTTGGTCGTGGGGAATAACCCACCCATTTTCAACTTGTAGCATCAGCCATCCCCAAACGTTATTGGCCAAATATCCTCTTACTCCTGCACCCAACTGGGGAAGAGGAAGAGGAAGAGCAGTACCATCTAGCCCAATAACATGCCGAATGGCCTCCTACGCCCTGTAGGTCCTACTAAACGACCAAACTATCTGGCTGTCTGATCAGAAGACTCTGGACTGAAATGGTTTCAAATGTAACACACACACACTGGAGAGGAAAAAAAAACCTGACAGCTTAATAAAAAGCATCAAATTAAAAAACAAACAAACTGCGTAACACTAACCATATTAGATTCAACAGTTGTAAACAAGAAAATCCTACACTTCGACCAAGCGAAAGGAATGTTGACAAACACAATTGGATTGTTTCTTCCTCTGTCTTTGGTTGAAATAACGAGAGCAGAACTTAACATATTGTAGTTCAAATAAAAACTTAGGGGTCGCAACTGATACAAAAAAAAAATTGCAACAGCCTACAGGGTAGCTTCACCTTACCTGGGCGTGTGTGCTTCCAGACAAGCAAACGTAACCACTGCACGATTTTCCTCGGCTCGCATCAACACATTTCCCGAGCACTGATGGGATTATGTAACCGTTCTATAAAACACAGGGACCCAACCCATGTACTGGAGGCACGGACACCAAATACCTATCTGATTATACCGGATTTACTCATTTCATAAAGTGCAGAACACACCAGCTACAATCATCAGGTGCATAGTTAATTCGAGAATCTAGTGTGTCGGAAAATAAGAATAACTAAGATCTCCACCACCCCTCTCCCCCGAAGATCTGCATAAACTAAGGTGAAGTATAGGGAAGTACCTCACCTCACTCAGCTGTGATCCCCCGACTAGCAATACAGCGCGATCCAGGCTCACTTGCAATGTTGCACTTGGCTCGCGCGGCTGCACGCATAGGGGAACGTGACAAGTCCGGCCCTCGACTTCTCCCATTGGCTGGCAGCGCCCGTGTCCCGGGAGCCAGACCATTGGCACGTCAGGAGGCCTGCCGGCCAGCGCGCTACCATTGGCCGTACTGGCTGTCAATCAGCCGCTCGCGCTACACAACCTTCACGTGGATCCCAATGTGTCTGTCTCCGGGCTGCACCGCGTTCCAAAAGGCTTCACCGCTGCCGGGGATGGAGCCCGAACTACCTCTGTCATCTTTATTAATTGCTTTCTGCTCCGGACCTGGTTGTGCAAGCGCATGCTTTATGCAAGCGTGACTTCCACAAGGTGTGGCTTATGTCAGGCGGCTGGCAGTGCAATGAAAGGTGCACAAAGGGAGAGGAAAAACAAAAGCTGAGAATTTGCTGTGTAATGGCGAGTGCTGGTTATGCGTTTTAACGAAAAAGCAAAACAACAATACGCAGCCAAGAAGTCATACGCCATGGAATGAGTTATGTACAATATAGAATCACCATAGTAAGCACCGCACAGGTGCTGCCTTCCCCATATCTCAATCGATCACCGTCTGAGTGTTAAATTGCTGCATTTGTCCGGTGAAAACGAAACAATTTTAATTGTTACGAACCACTATTTTGGGCCATGACTAACTTATTAATAAAGCCATTAGATGACCTGACATAACTATCAGTTATCCTTAGAGGTTCAGATAAAAGCAATTGCAACTCGACTCTTACTCCTGCAGTTGGTATTATTCTTAGAGCTTTTTTTTTAAAAAATTCTTTTTCTGACTTGTTTCTCTGCTTCATCCAATATTCATTATACCCAATCTCTATTCAATTTGACTCTATTACACCCCATGACCTGCGCTGTTTGCTCTACTCCCTTATTCTTAACTTGTTATGGATATGAACGATTGATCTTGTGGTTCACAAGGGTACATGTTTCCTTTATAATTCAGCAGTTTTTCTACCTAACCCAAAATGGATTCAAGATGGTTTTTAAACACACAAAAAAATCTCTTTGGGCTTCAGAATAAGTTAAAAACCAGAGAATTCTGTATATAACAATGCTGGCAGGAATCCTGAACCCCACAGATTGATTTAGCATCTACATTTCTGTGTGCAACCTTGGAAGATCTATCATCCAAAAGTTCTATTTTTAACAGTTTCTGTAAGAAGTGTATTGTAATAATGGTATTTTGATCCCTTATGGTGTAATTCTTTTGTATTGAAGTATTATGGTGACTTAGTATCTTGCCATATTATGTGGCAACAAGGCATTGTTTAATCTGTCAATAAATCTAACTAATGAGCTTTGGCATGTACATAGTGTTCTGGTGAGGTATCTTCTCTTGTTTGGGAGAGGCCAAAGAATGCAGAAGGCTCTTAAATTACTTCTAATGTACAATGCAGACAATTAAGGGCCGTTGTTAAGCAAAGATATTCTGTTCCATACAGAGCGCATGCTTCAGATTTGTGGAACATGATCTATAAGTGGAAACTTTCTTCGAAGAATACAAGAAAAGTGTATTTAGGGCATATGGGACTGATTTTACTTTCCCCCATCAACAGATGTGTGGATTTGAGGTGTATAAAAAATCCCTGAAGAACATTGTCGCCACCCTCCCTAAATAGTTTCCAATTTTAGAATGAAACAAGAGAAGCCTAGGAGAGCACACCCATCCTTGACTTAATTGAGATCCTTAATTTGACAATTTAAGGGTGAGGTCCCACTAACCTCAATTTCAGGCAAGTGAGAAAAGCTCAGGAGCAGGAGGGAAGCCGTGTAAAAAAAAATCACTTTCCTGACACCTCAGGCTGGAAAATGTGTTGGGGGCAGCGCGGAAGGACTTGGATCACTTTGTTTAACAGCCTCTTTTCCACGTTGGACACTTCTCCACATCCCAAGATCTGACCCATCAGGAGCTTTCCCTTTCCCTTTAGTTCTCTCCATCAAGAACACCAACCTATTTTCCCCACCTGCTCAAACCTCACCTCCCCACCATTAGATTATCTGCAACTGAACAAAGACTGTGCTAACAACTTTAGTCCCATTTCAGGTTACTGAACTGCCTTTGGTAGAACCTAGCTGCCAAGATTGGCAGCTGTCTGAGATGGGACTTGCACCTAAGCAATGGGTGGGAGTTCTAGCTCCAGTCAATTACCGTTTCAAGGTAGAAATACATTCCCTGCTGACTTTTCAGGTGGCCAGAGAAGAGATCCTGTCTTTTGTAAAATCCTAACAATTAGAAAACTGTCATTCAATATATTTTTAATATAAATCTCAATCAGTGTTGCATGATTTGTCTATACATATATACATACATATTACACACGTTATTTTATCTGTGTTTGCACATCTAGAACAACTGGTGCAGCTGCTCCAACCATTGCTGGAGTACTCCAAGAGCAATTCACTTAGCGTGCAATCAGCAACTGTGGTGACCCATTCTGATTAAGCAGAGGATTATGGAAGATACTGCCAAAAATGAAAAATAAATGATTTAACGTTTTTGATTCTTAAATTTGATTGCAGTGCTGGGCGAAGTTTGGCAGAATTCTCGCTGTCCAAATAGGAACTTACATTAGACAAAGTAGTGTAGTTAGCCAGCTAACTCTTCGAGGAAAGACTAAAAGAAGGAGGAAAGAAGTGTATTACATTCTAGACATTAATTTGATCTTTCAGGAAAAAGTGGGAGAGAATGGTAATCAATGTGCCACTGAAATTTAGTATTTATCACAGGAAGACAACCTGAACCTTACTGTACTCTTTGAAGAGGAGGTCAGACCTGATGATGCCTTTGTTGAGAGGGAATAGCATGGTTTTAAAAAAACAAAGATGCAGATCAGTCAGTTCATTCTGCTGAGGTCCACCAAAAGGCAAAGACTTTGATTATTCTTTACTTACCTCTTTGAGAAACCAACAGTTTTAGCTGCAGGTGTTTGACTCTACCTTGACTAAAGTGAAGCCAGATAAAATTGGTACTGCAGATAGTAGGGCAGGAAAAGTAGGTTTCTCTTTTTATTCATTCATGAGTACTTATTGCCTCTAATTGCCCTTGAGAAGATGGTGGTGAGATTGCTTCTGGATACACTACAGTATGAGAGGTGAATGCACTCCCAGAGTATTATTAGGTAGTCAGTTCCAAAATTTGAGCCAATAAGCAATGAAAAAAGATGCAATCACATGACATAAAGACAGAAATTGCTGGAAAAGCTCAGCAAATCTGGCAGCATCTGTGGAGAGAAATCACTGTTATTTGGAGGAGAACTTGTAGGTTGTGGTGTTCTACGCATAGAAATATAGAAGATAGGAGCAGGAGTAGGCCATTCGACTCTTCAAGCCTGCTGTGCCATTTATTATGATCATGGCTGCTTCTGCTGCTTGGTTTAGAAATAGTTCTGTGTTGTTCAGCCATAATTTTCTGTCCTTTCCATCACATCTTCCTTTTATCTATGAATTGTTGCCACTCACCTCAACTCATATGTAATATGATGCATCTGTCTCATGGTCACCCTTGCCTTCAGTCAAATTTATATTTCTGCTTTTTTAGCCCTGGTGGAAGAAAAAAGTACAAAACACAAATGACAGGGGACAAGAAACAGAAACTAAAAAGAAAGCCTGGAAATAAGAAGCACATTTCAGCCTTTCAGTCAGAGCTGGAAGTATAGAAAGCTCACAGACAGGTTTTGACAGAATAACAAATATCTTAAATTCACGTGCTGACTCAATTTCATTAATGACTGAACTGAGGGGAGACATGAAGCTGGTTATTGCTTACATTGTGATTTTTCACAACTAAATCTTTAATTTTAGACTTCTAAGGCCTGCATGAGTGCAGCAAATATTACAGGACATTACAGTATAAGAACATGAGAAATGGGAGTGGCCATTCAGCCCCTCAGGTTTGCTCCACCACTCAATGAAATTATGGCTGATCTAATTGTGTCCGTAACCCCTCAGTCCATTGTGGACCTCATTCCTTCTGAATTTACACCACCAGACAAGGTTCCAACATGCATCTACATAAGTACCCATACTTCAATTGATCCACTTAAAAAGTTATTGGGTTTTCACCTGATGAGTCAGCTGTCACTAATGAGGATGATCAGATACCAGTGGCAGGGGCAACTGTGCAAAGTCCCCATTGGAAGGCATTATCCTAATCCAGATCTGGTCAATTAGATACAGTGCCTCAGGATCTTCATGCAGAGCAAGAATCCTACAGGCACACATACTCTACAATTGATTAGACAAGAGGGGTCCAGAGATTTATAATGATAATGCCAGAAATAATTAACTGACCACCTTCTGTGCAAAAAAATTCTATCTTTCCGATAGGGAGGAGCTGGAAGGCACAATTCAGTAGTGAATTGTTTAACAGAACAGCAAATTGCAAAACTGCCTGCCATGGTGAACATCACTACCTTCAAGAAAGATTCTTTGTAGGCTTGTGGAGGTCATGACCACAGCTATTGTAAACATTTACTGCCAAACCTGTATGCTGCTTTAAACAAAATGCCACATATCTTATCCATGGCTTCACACCCCATCACTGATCTGCACCAAGCTACTTGGAAGCAGGGTGACAGGAATGTTGTGGCAATGGGTAAGGAGGGAAATAATGGGTAAGGAGGGAAATAATGGCAAAAGGGACATGGGAGGTGCACTCAAAAGGGCCCCACTTCTCAGATATTGCGCCACCAACTCTTGCACCCTCACTCAGCTTCTACTGTGTTCAGTCAGGTCTGGCCCTGCATAGATTCAGGTAGAATAATCTTGATAAAAATAACCTTATGTACAGAATAAATACACAGCATCCATTACAAAGTAATGTCAGCCAGACTGTGCCACAAGGCAGTAACTTATTGAACTTAGATGACGCAAATAAATTATG